TTTTTATATTTATCAGAGTTTATTTTATATTTATAAATAATTTACTAATATTTTGTTTCTTTTTTCTCTGCTAACTATGCTCGTTACTTATTAGTATTGTTAATTTTAAGAAACTAATTCTTAAAATTAGTTCTCGATCACTGCATTGGGAAAGAAACTTGTTTTTATGTTTTTAATGAGCTGGATAACGTCGATTTGTTGGACAGCATGAACAGGTTCTGTGTCTCTTTGGAGATTCGAGCACCATTGCAAAAAATAGCACAGTAAAATTTTCATTTATTCATAAAGACTTTATTTTTAAGCATTATATACATTATTATGTCACGGTATGATATTTAGATATATTATTTGTTATCTACTAAAGAATACGGCTAAAAAATATAGTCGAAACAGAATTGTTATATTTAATTGTTATCACATTAAATTATATAATAATAAGATTAAATAGATTTTATAATTAGTATGTATCGTCATCATATTGCTGGCAAAAATTACTTACGTTTGCTATACCTATAATGTATCTCTTACAAAAATTGAAATTCCACAATTATCTACAACTTTCAAGCGTCCTAAATAGCAGGCATTAAATTTGAATTATGCGAAGAAAATCACAGGGACGTAAAACTTAATGATTTCTCAAATCTTGAGGTTCTTAATGGATCGCGTTAACGAGGCGCTTTTCTTATGATTAAATGTTCACGAAACACACGTCATTAAAACATATTCCTGTAATAACTCATCTATAATTATACCTATCAGCGATTGTTAAGCATCATCGATCATGTCTCATCTCGTTCATCTCTATTAAAATAAAATTAACTTAGAATCAAGCGGGAAGCGAAGCTTCGTTACTTATCTACCGCCTTAATTTTATTACACAAGAATTTTTTTATTCCCAATACAAATATTTTTGTGACTAAATGTCTCTGAAAATTTTATCAAGAAACCAAATCAATTAAAAAATTATTAAATTATTAATTTATTACATTTTAATTATATTGGAACAATATTCACGTAACAGTAAATTGCATGACGAGTAATGTATCAAACTTCATTTATTGTACAGTGTTTTATAAATGCACGTCAATACTTTAAGAGATAAATCTACATACTAAAATAAGTAAAAAACGTCATATGACTGCATACCTTAGTTCTCAAGTTATGGACGATTAAAGAAAATTCAATTTTAATGAATGTACAATATATTATATAGAGTTCAACATCTTAACACTCGGACCGGTAAGGTGCTTCGTATTTCAACGATTAAAGAAAATATTTAAAATATTCGCCTCGTGCGTCAACTCACGCCACGTCTTAGCATTGAATCCCGCATTGAATCTCGTTCAAAAATACTAGGTATTCTTTGAATAGTCTCAATTCCATTTCGTATTCTTTCTCGCAAATCATCCGCATTATTCACTGACACATTAAATACACAATAGATTTTAAATGCCTCCCAAAAATAAAAATCTAATGTACTAAGATCAGAGAAGATCGTGGTGGCCATAGGATGGATCCGTCTCGACCTGCCTGTCAGTTTGCGAAGGCATTGTTTAGGAATGTTCTCACTTCAAGATAATGAGAAATGAGATGGAACACCATCGTGTCTGAACGGTTATACATCAAATGCATTTCGGCCTTTTTCAAGTCGGTTGTTCCATCTTTAGATAAATTATGTGGTAATTTACTTGTTGACTAAACAAAAGAGTAAAAGAATAAGAACATAAGAAAGATAATAAGAGAGTGAAGTTTATCGAAAGGAGGAACAACCCAGCCTTAGAACAGTTTTTAGAACAATAAGATACCGACTGTTTGAAATTCTGTCCGATTTATTGATGGATATTGTTTGTTAAATACGTCGAGATGTGCTAAAACGTACAGTAACTCAGTAACGTTCGTTGACGCACAAGGCGAGCATTTCGAACATTTTCTTTAACTTGACATCCATAACTTGAAAGCTAAGATATGTAGGATATACTATGTTCATATGACTTTTTTTTACTTATTTTAGTGTATAGATTTACTTTATAAAGTATTGATATAAATTTATGAAGCACTCTGTATAACATTTCAACAAATTATGAGTAATATTTCCATTTTACATTTTATTGTAGTCATTTTATTGTAGTTTCTTATATGATTATTAATCAGTTTATGTTTATCAAAAATTGCATTTTTTTATTTTACACACATTATTGTCGATATTATATTGTGAATAGACACAAAACATAAAAACAAACGTAAAACTGTTGCCTGTTTCTCTGGCTTATCCTTCCTCGAACCACTGCAAATAGACATAGATATCTGATT